ATCTGAATTTATGTAACGACACAGGCACAAACAAAGATGGCAGCCAGACAGGCGAAACGTGAAAAGCGGAAGGAAAAGTGGGGAGAGTGGGACAGCGACGATTTTTCCGGGGCGCAGCAAGAGATAGAGCGAGAGGGAAGTAGGGTCGAGAAGAAGACTCAAATGAAAACTGATGCGGATTAGTATTTAAAATAATGTCCTGCAGGGATATAACTTGTGCCCCCCCCTCTCAAAAGCCCGAGCCTCATTCCGTTTTCTTGCTGCCTTTATTTTTCTCACTTGATTTTTTATTTTGTGTTTCCTTACACTTTTCCCCATTTTAATTCCTTTGCAGCGATTTTTTCTTTCGGGGAATGTTTCATAAAATTTATATTTGCAGATAAGTGAGCTTGTGGGACGTGGGAGGAGGAATGGACGGGACTTTTTATTACGAGACAATTTACATATTTTTCTTGTTAAAATTCCTCAACACTCTCTCTCCAACTGGGTCCTTCGTGTCATATGAATTTTCCCCCATTTTCCTGTTTCTGAATTAATGTTAATTTTTATTACACTTACAGTGCTGTCCCTTTTCCAAATACAGACCCACTCCACTCATTTAAATTCAAGTTTGTTTGTCTCAACGAACAAAAACGGGAGAAAAAAAGGAAAAGCAGGCAGGGAAAATAGCGATTGCGAAGTCCAGATGAAAATGTTAATAATAAAACAACAAAATCCGAATGAATGCGTTGCAAATCGAAAAATAATAAAAATAGAATCGCTCGCCTCCATTGTCCTTCCAGGTTTTCTCCTGTTTCCTGTCTGCAGGACATCAACTCCCCCAGTCGATGCCTCATTACGTATTCCCTGAACAAATTCTATTAATTATCGTTATGTCCTTCTGATGGGTGGCTGCGAACTGAGGACACCCGCTGTTTGCCCGCTCGTTTTTTAATAAAAGTTACACGGGGATTTTAATTTCTCTCGGTAAGCTGACTTAACGTCCTCTAAAAGAAATTCTTAGTCTAAAAAGTCTTGTGCATTTTAATTAGTTCTTTGCTGTATTTTTTCTACAAAAATCACAGTTGGAAAATATGTAAAGTATGGTGCATTTTGTAATGATTGTATTTTTGAAAAACTGTATAAGTTATTTGTATCTCAAGAAACAGTTTTTCAATATATTTACTTGGCTAACGGCATCCATTCGACAATCGAGCATCAGAAAATAATTTTGTGTGCATCTCCCATGTGGAATCCAGTTACTAAATTATTCCCAATTCAATTTCCGATGGCCAAATAAAATCACAGGCAGCCAACTAAGGAAATGGGACATCGAGCACTTCTACTGGGATATTCAGAGATGAGCAATTTGTTGTTCTCGTGCTGCTGCTGCTGCCCGTCATGGAAAATTCTAAATGTTTCAATCAACTATTCGCAATATTAAATATTAACGTAAAACTCGAGTGGAGTTGTCTCGGGCTGACCCTTTCGATATCGGACCCAAAAAGGTCATCATGTGTCTGTGAACACACTTACTCCAATCACATCACATATATACGAGGAGATGCACAAAACAAAATATTTTGAGGACTTAAACAACATGTTTTGATTATTTAACCAAATGAATTTTTTTCTAACAAATAAATCAAAAGAATTTAAGTTTATTGGGAGTAATGGAAACTTTAAAAAATGATACACATATAAATCATCATTTATAAGAATTGTTTCCCTGTGTAGAAAAGCTAGCAAAGTAATTTTGGACATTTTTCATCATAAACAGCAATGACTGAGCTTGCAGTTGTTAGACTCAACCCCTTCTGGGAATTTCTTCCTTGGCCGGGCTTTGATTTCGAATTGGATTTGAATTTGGAATTTTTGGCTTTCAAGGACCGCCGGAGGTCCGCAGGCGGTTGGCAGTTCGAGTTGAATGGAAAGCGGCAATGGAGATCCAGTTGGTCAAGTTGGTCAACGCATAAATATTTCCCTTTGTTCAGGAATCGCATCGGAGCCAAAAAAGAGCATTAAGTGGGTGTGCAAGTGTGTGTACCTGTGTGTCCTGTCCAGTCTGCACTCATCTCTCCCTCCCTTTCACTCCTTTTCCCCATCTACCCCCTGTCTGCACCGACACAAACAAACAAGCAGAAGGATACGGAGTGGTGGGGATCCCATCCTGAAAGGATGCTCAGATATGAGCAACGGTCGAGTGGTCAAGTCAAAGTTATTGTCGTGTCATGTAAGTGCCAGCCGTCCACCTCCCATTCTCACCCCCTTGCGTGTCCTGGTCAGATTTTCCAATTTCATCTTCATCTTCCATACAGTAAAGTACCCCATTTTGTTTTTCATGTTCGAAGCACCGTGGGCAATAAAATTGTTTTTCCAGAAATGTGTGGAATATACTATTCCTGCCGGTAGAAACAGATATTAAGGTTGAAGTGCAAATTAATATTCCCTCAATAATAAATAATTTTTAAAAACTTATATTATATATTCACTAAATCGCATTATTAGACACGAAACATAGAAAAAGGCAAACTGAAAACCATCTTTAAAGCTTTTGCTTTAAAATGTATTTTATTTAAACCAACAAAAAAAACTTGTTAAAATGAAGTCAAGGAATAAAATAAGCTGGTATAGAGTTTTATACCCAAGGAGGCTGTAAAAAGTACTTTCTAGTCAAATAATTTAAACATAATTGTAACCATACAAAGTATTAAGAAATGACCCAATAAAAAACTGGAGATTATAGAAAAACTTTTAAATCATTTATTCCCGGGGAGATGCCATCTGTTCTTTGAAATCCGACGACAGTGCATGATAAAAAAAAGTTGTCACACGTGCGCTGAAGTTAAATGTAAACACACCTGCTGACACAGCATCATCAGAAATTCACCGAAACTTTTCATAAGTTTGAAGAGCACTGGGGAAGATCGTGTTTGGGAAAAGGTTTCCTCCGGGGTTGGGTAAAATGTAAATATCGGTTGTAATGGCCGCAGTCCCAGGAGGCGGAAAAATCAACTGACCAGTAACTTCGTCGCAAACTTTTATGGCATCTTGCGAAAGTTGAAAGTGACTTAAGTGAAATTTCCACCTCAGGCGGCTCGATTCCTTTTTCCAGGATTTTCGAGGGGTCACGCCATGAACATGAGTAAAAATTAAATTGATTTTCCTCGGACATTGTTCGGACCTGGACTGAAGTTCTGTTCGCTTTTCTTTTTGCCCCTTCAATGGACTTTTGACGACCTCATGGACTTCATTTTGTTTTTTGCCAATCCTTCAGTTGTGAAGCGCTTCAACTTCCCTGCATTGAATATTAAATTGGTGAGCAAATAGTGTGAGACTGTATTTTATTGACTCACTTCATTCAGCTTTAGTTATTCGCATCTGGCCAAATTTTTACTCAGCAAATATTAAGATGAAAGCCTTTCTTAAATCTTTTAACGAATCCGCACTCCCTCTCAACTTCCACTTGACTTAAGCGACAATTTCATTTCAATTAAATTATAATTATATCTTCAGTTTGGCCCCATCAAGTTTCACTCAAACAAAAAGTACAATTTTCATTTTCACCTTTTTGCGAAAGGCGAGGAGGGCGTTGATAATTCCCCAAAATTGTTTGACACTTCAAAGTCATTATGAAGATAGCAATCACCAACCCCGCTTCTCAATCCCCACAACTTTTCTCCAAGGGTCCTGACATTTCTTCACGGCCTGGCATTCACTCCAGCCCCCATTCCCACAGCCCGACAATCCTTCAGGACCACCCCACCTTCGTCCTTTTGACACTTTGCTCAATCCTTAGATGGAGCTCGCCACGTCTTCCTACATACCTACATACCCACAGCGCTTTTTGATGTAATTTTGGCATAAGCCAAAAAATGTTGCCTTCCTCGAGATGTCTCTGTCTTCATTCCCCAGCGAACGGTTTCCGAATGCGACACGCTCTGACGAACTCATCCGGGGAAAATGAAGAAAATTAAATTTGGAATTAAAATTTTGGCTTGGCGCGCATAACTTTATGCCTCCTCGTTTCCTTTCCCCCTCAAAAGGGTTTGCTGCATGAAATGGAGTCTCTGCGGGAGTCTTAGCTCTGTTAAGACAGACTCCACAGGAAAAGAAGATTTTGTTTTGCTTTTGTACATTTTTATAAAGTTTATTTCAGGAGAAATAAAGATACGTGATAAACTTTTTTAAAATAGATTTCTAAGGTCGTTTATTACAATTGTAAATTGATATTACACGATGTTCCCGTCTTCAATTTATACTTGTGCTGGCCGTGTAAACTATGTTACGTAATGAATATCTTTTGAACGACATCGATGGTCATAGATGTGATCTTTTTCTAACTGAAATTATAATACCCTCTGTAAGGGCCCGAAACGGCCCGGTTCGAACAACTATAGCATATAGCTTAAAAACATATTATTACGTCGTTATTTTAAGTTTAGAAAAATTGAAAGATTTCGTCATATTTTTATGACGGTAAAAATTATGCACATACCTCGACCATGCATTAACCTTAAAATTTGTTAGAATAATAGATCAAATTAGTTATTTTTAAAAAGATTGGACCACTAAATATATAGCTGGCCCAGAAAAAAATCAGCAAATGAATTAATATTATGTCTTAAATAATATACTGTTTTGCTGACATAGCTTCCTTTCTTTTAAAAAATGCTGAAAAATTGTATTATTATATTATATATAATATTATATATTATATTATAGGTATATTATATTATATATTATATTACCTACATATTATATTAATATTGTGTTTAGAATGTATTCAGTTCGAAATATTCAATACTTTGTTTTACTTTTTTAGAATTGTTTACTAATACATATTACATTTCTTTTTTATAGAATTCGTTAATTTCGTATTTGCCGCCTATTTATTATCAGCGAATCCACCAGTCGGCTAATCTGGTAAACAAATACGATGATGACGTTTTTTGTGAATGGCGTTTTATTATCAGCTGATCGCGTCTTTGTGATTTCAAAACAAATACATATTTAACAAAAAAGATTCTTTCAAGTTGTTGAGCTTTTTTCATTCTGGCTTTCACCGCTTCTGGTTTGGATAAAAAAATTCAGTTGCAATCTTCATATCTCCAATCCATTGTTTTACTGCAAAATGTAAGGCATAAGAATATTAATAAAAATAAATAAGATACTAAGATATATACAAAACCATATATGGTGAAATTAAGTATGTGCGTCAGCAATTAAAACTTGTTTTTAGCTTTTTTATTTAGGTTGTTTTTTATTTTATATGTAAACAACAAACGAAAAACCACTTTGATAAAAAACAACAAATTTGAATCTTTTATAGCTTTTTGCATATATCTGTATTCTAGTGAAAGATAAAGATATAAAATTATGCATGTGCGTTCGTCTACTTTTGTAGAATTTCATTTTATTATAAAGGCTATTAAAAATGACTTTCTTATTATAATTTTGCTGTTTCAATAGGTTGACTAATTTTTATAGCTTTTTAAGATTGCTTTACTCGAAAGTCAAAAGCTTTTCGTGCAGCATTGTACTTATCAACCATATGTTCTTTCATGTATACGTGAATATAATATTTTAAATACGTTATCACCTCAATGTTAAAACAAAAGTTAAAGATGAATCAATTGCATATAAGTGTTGTTTTGAATATCTTAATTTTCTTGTTATTTTACAGATCGTGGCAATATTTGTCGGGGATTAGTTCAGATGGGATGTCGGCGATTTGGTGGCGGTCACCATTCACGTGGAGGCCCACCTCCACACCATCATCATGGTGGACATCGTGGTGGTAGACACTCTTGGCATCCACACCCACCACCCCATCATCAGCCTCCCTGTGGACCCCCTGGTCACCATTGGGATGGGTATCCTCCTCCTCCACCCCCTCATCATTTCCCACCTCCAGGTGGATATCCTAGTGGTGGACACCCTTGGCATGGACACCCTCCTCCACCTCCGCCACCTCCCCAACATCCCCCTCCCCCTTCTGGACATCCGGGAGGCTGTCAGTACTGCGGATGCCCGTGGGGCGGTTCTGCCCAGAACGGGAATCCTGGGATCGGAACCCCTCAAGGGGAAACCCCAACTAACGATCAGCAGGGTAACAACGATCCTGGGAACACGAACCCTGGCAACGGAGAACCAATACCTGGACAAACCAAATACGAAATCATTGACCTAAGAAATCCCTGATTGTCTTTCCAAAGTATTTCCTCCACTACATAATATCTTTTGCATTTTATTGCTTTTAAAGAATGTCTTTCTTTAAAAGGCCAAGCGGTAAACGAAAAAATAATAATATGATAACTACTGTTGTCACTCCTGTTTAATATGAACTCTTTACTTTAGAATATTACTGTTTAACAATGATTTTTTTAATAAAAAGATTTAAAAATAAATCCCTATAATCCTCATAATTTTAAACAAAAGAATTACAAATTACAAGTAATTTATAAAAAATTTTTTGGTTCGCAATATTCTTAGATATCAATCAAATAGATTTTATTGTGATTTTAAAAAAAAGTATTTTGATTTTTTATTGTTGCCAGATGTTGACAACATTTGGTGGTGTACATTCCTTATATAGGTAGATAAATTTTTTCGTCAATACCTAGTTGTATCCGACCTAAATACGACATTCAGGTACCAATCTCCCGTCTACCTGCTCAGATTGGGGAAAATGCTATAAATACGACAGACCTTTATCGAAAAACTTCAGTACTTATGTAAGTGTCCTTCATAATGAAACTACTACTGGTGCGTTGTCTGTTTTGTAAAAAGTTACTTCGTAGATTGATAACTGTATTTAATATCCCATAGATTTTTTTGTTCGGCCTAATAACCACTGCTGTGGCTCAATATGGATTTGGCCAAGGAGGATTTGGCAGTCAAGGGGGTATTGGTGGACAAGGAGGATTCGGCGGACACATAGGATTCGGAGCACAAGGAGGACTTGGAGGCCAGGTTGGAGTTGGCCATGGAGGTTCTGGATCATACGCTCCGCAAGGACCACCAAATCGATTCGAGCCAAACTACGGAGGAAATCCTATTATACCCGGAACTCATCATGAACATGGTGCACATGGTGGGGAATTCGCCCCACAAGGACCCCCAAATCAATTCGAACACGGATATGGTGGGTATCCTTCCGGAACTGGTGATTTTCACGGAGATCACCACGAGCACTCCGAACATCATGGTGAACATCACCGCGAACATCACATCGAACATCATGAACACCATGGACACCATGAACACCATGGACACCACGAACATCACGGGTACCCTTAACTCTTTGTGAAATACTAATGAGTGCAAAATAAAGTTCAAATTTAAATGCATTATATATTAATTTTGACTTTACCTCGGGTTTAATGGGTCCTATGTTGATTTCAAAACCAAATTTCATTAATAGTATATTTTTCAACGAAGGTAAGATACAATAATAAATCCTAAATTATATTTTATACTTTAACGTTGTTGAAGAAGAAAAACTTACAAAAATTAAATCTAACATATAAGAATAGAATTTAAAGATATAAAACTTTTTATGTTTATTAAATTATCTACTGAGCGATGCGATGCAAGCTATCGCCCTTAAATCATACAGATAATTTTGTGTACGTTCTTAACTATATTTTCATTCTGTTACTTTATTTTTTTTGGATTGGATGTATACTTTCACACCCCATTCACCGTTGGTCACCGAAACTACTCAAATTTCATTGTCTGAAATCAAATAAGTGAGCCACAAAAATAGGACACATATGGGAAGGAAACCCTTTGCCTTGTCCACTCCATCCGAGACTTCTATAATTTATTTTGCAGATAAAGCATATACTATCCCGCAGAGGGTGGGCATCCACGTCCCATCTCAACCTTTGCAATCGGAGAAAAGGCTGCTGTCGACCGCTCCCCAGCGACATTTTCTGACCAACGCGACTGACAGAATTGAAAAATAAGCGACGTCCGACAGGGGGGGAAATGCTGGGGGTGGGGGAGGAGGTCAGGTGGGAGGGGGCTGAAGGTGAAAAATAAAAAATGGCGTCCAGTCGAGTGCTCAACCTCAAGATTTATAAGGAAAGAGAAAAAATAAAGGTGAGGGCAGGAGAAAAGAGCACACGTTAAAATAATGCAAAAGCTGAAAAGGACTAAAAAAAGTTGTGGAAAAACACACACCCACACACACACACTAAGAGCGAGAGGGAAAACCGCACACACTTATACACGCAACAACAGAAATGGAAAGGATAAAATTAATTTTTCTCCTGCTGCTTTCCTCCCACCCGCGCTTTTCCTGCGAGAAGAAGAACGGAAAAGTGGCCCGGGAAAAGGCGGATGGGTGGGTGAAAGTGGGCGGGAAAAAGGGTGACCCACCCAAGCGGCAACATTGCTGACGCTATCAAACACCACAAACACATTTAGTTTGCGGCGAATTTGTTTTTGCGTCGCTCACTTTTCTCACTGCTTCTTCTTCTGGCAATTTGCGCCATAAAAATGTGCAAAAAAATTGCAACAAAAAATGGAATAAAAATGCCATGGGAAGCAAGTAGAAACTTGCGGACACATAAAAATGGCATAAAAATATTCAACTTACCTGAGAGCGCGAAGTCTTAAAAACACTGTTAGGAAGTTTTACCATAGCCTGTCTATAATATTAAATTATTATTATTTATTAATATTACATTTTATTATTATAATATAATACGTTAGTCTATAATTCTAATTTAAGAACTACTTTGTATAATGCCAAGTGCTCATATTACTTTTCAATTCTCTGCATTTTGCTTATTATAAATGATTTATAAATATAATTGAGTTTATGAACAACTCCTTTCTTTGCGTTTGATTAGATTTTAAGCAATATGTATTAATATATAGGGGAATGTTGTCAGGGTTGGGCCATATTTTGACCTATGTCCATAAGATCTGAACGAATGACAGTTTAGAATAAGTTTATACATTTTTGGAAAGGTACAAGCGAGAGGAAGAGTTCACCAAAAATAGAGAATAAAAAAACAGAAACAAAAAAAGTTATAGGCGTTTGAAAAAAAAAAAAATGTAGTCAGCCTTGGGCCATGTAGTCAGGGTTGGGCCACCTTCAGAAAATCGTTGACAATATCGTAACCTGGTGGAATAAAATTGAATTCAGGTAAATCTGATATTATTTTGTTCATTCATTTAATTATTTGGGATTTTACAGTAAATATCAAATTATTCAGAGTTGTTTTTCGTTTGTAGCGAGAAACACTAAGGAAAAAGATAAAAATGATTCATCTTCTTTCAATCCATCAAAATATTTTTTTAAGGAAATCTATTTAATTTATTTTGCATATTTTTGCTACCAAAAACTTAAATATTACAACAAAAATCGAAAATACACGAATAAAATGTAAAAATTATGATGGCCCAAGCCTAACTACAAGAGTGGCCCAACCCTGACGACATGCGGTATTAGTCTATTATGGTATGATATAGCCAAACTATATCTAACAATGAAACTATATCTTAGTATTTTGTAATATAACAACCATATAACGTATTTTTATGTTCACTTTGCGGATGACATGTTGTAATCTTGTGTTATTCCACCTTTTCGGCCAGGTTAAAAAAACTTTTTCGAGCACTTTTTTTCACAGAACAACGGCACGTAGAAAAATGAAATCCCGAAATAAGTTGTCACGTGGAAAGTTTCGAGTGACCGATAGAAGTTTCTAGATACCCACTAACAGATGGTACTAGAACGAATATTCAAAATATTGAGATGGCCCAAGCCTGACAACGGCCCAACCCTGACAACATTCCCCTATATATAATTAAATAGGGGTTTTTTCAGTTACGAATAAAATATGTCTAAGTGCTTCGAATTCTTCAAACGTTTTTACTAGATAGAACTGTATTTTTCTTTGGCCAGAATTCGGATTCTATATCGGATCACGTTCACCAACGCCTTTTAATGGGCGTGTCACTGTCGTGCCACAAGATTTTTTCTGTATCCCTGCACTACATAGTCTGTACTACAAAATATCTATAATAAATCTACTTGTTCTGAAACAAAAAGTGAATAACCCAGCGAAGCCTCGTCAAATAAAAAAGGCAAAAAGGAGAGAATTTAATACAAAAGTCATGCACATGTGAGGGGAAGGGGTCGTAGAAGAACGTAGCCGTGTCCAGTTCAAAGGGAATAAAAAGTGGAAACCAATAACGGAAAATGGGGATGCAGGGGCATCTGGGATAATCCGCTGGAGTAAGTAAAAGGAAACAAAGCAAACCGAGGCGAAGTGAAGCAATAAAAATGAAATGGGAGTGCCAGGAAATAGGAAGAGCAGCCTGTCAAATGGGAAATATTATGTCCCCCCTTTTGGATCAGATAACCGGATGAAAGTGGAAATAGGATGACCTCACCTACAGTCTGGTCAGAAGTTCTGATCCCTCCAACCCTGGAAAATATTGCGCATACGCAATGTGCGGCAACGCCATTTGGGTGGGGAATTATGAAAGTGACCGCAGGAGTTATGAATTTGTTTCCTGCTCTCGGCCAATCAAAAAAGCACCCTGGCCTGTCAGCCAACCAGAGAAAGGGCTTTCTGAACCTGCGCCTGTTGCATAAAGTTATGTGTTCATATCATAATCCATAAAGTTCCATACACCACTAACAGAAAAAAAGGAAAACCTGCAAGGCAAAGTTGTCGTTGGCTTCAAATTACAACCACAAACACAACGGAAATGGGGGCGAGTGTGGTGGAAAACCGCCCTTAGAACGCACCAACACACACACAATTCGCTTAAGTCAACAAAGAGGGGGAAAACCCAGAGGAAGAAACGCTTTTTGGGGGTGAAACGGCAAAACGGGCGGCAGCACCCTCAATGCCACCCAATTATAACCTTATGGGTGGGTGGCTTATTTGAGCTGCGAATTCAACTGCGTCGCTCGCTTTGTTATTGTTTCATTTTTCTCGTTTTCCCTTCGATTTTCCTTCTATTTATTTACGTGACTGTGGGTGGGTGTGTGGGTGAGAGTGTGTTTGTTGTTGTGTGGGATATCTACAGGACTCACAAGATACACGTACGCACCAGCATTCGGGCAAAGTTACTGCGATACGTGCAACATCATAAAAAGGACAAAACAATAACAATAAAAATCATATATACTCATGCCCCACCACCCACTTCCACCACCCCCCACTCACATACATATACACCCCACCAGCCATGTATATGTGCATGGGTTATATGAAAATAAACGAAAACCGTTAAGATATGAGCGCCCGCAAGGAATACAGGATGGCATTCCCCCCGCCGCGCCTTCAATTCTTTTCGCTGCGTTCGACCGTCAATGGTCAATGCCTTCTGTTTACGACTACACGCATACATACATAGCATGTGTCCACAGAGACAAAAATTACAAGTAAATTACACAAAAACAGTAAGCATTTTCATTTTAAATGATTCTTAATAGCGTTTTATTTTATTTTGTTTTTATGAGACGGGGATGACTCACTATCCTAAACGAAATCCAAAGGAAAGATATATAATATCTTATAGACTTTAAGTATTAATAGTATTCTAATGTACATACACAGAAATATAAATATTTTCTAATAAACAACAAATTCCTTACGTTATATTAAATGCCAAAATAAAAATATTACTTTACTTAAACAAACCTACAAACTTGTCAGTTTCCCCTCATTTGGAAGGAGTCATTTGTCATTCCCCTTCATAAAAAGGGAAGCAAGTCGGATGCTTGCAATTATAGAGGTATTTCTAACTTGTCAGCAATTCCAAAGCTTTTCGAACGTGCAGTAACCCCCCACTTGCAGCACCTTTGTAGATCAATCATATCTCCATGCCAACACGGATTTATGAAACGCAGGTCTACCACAACAAATCTTCTAGAGCTCACATCCTTCGTGATAGATGGCTTTAAAAATAATTTCCAAACTGATGTCATTTACACAGACTTCAGTAAAGCATTTGACTCTGTAAATCACTTCCTAATGATTCGCAAACTTGACATGATGGGGTTTCCAGCAGATCTTTTAAGTTGGATCTTTAGTTATCTCAGTGGCCGAACTCAAAGAGTCCTTTTCAAAAATTCCTTAAGCGGTCTCCTCAGAGTTACCTCTGGTGTACCACAAGGAAGCCATCTGGGACCATTACTTTTCACTTTGTTCATTAATGATCTTCCATCGATCATTACGCATTCCCGCGTACTTATGTACGCGGACGACGTAAAACTCTGTCTGCAGTATAATGATTGCTCCCGTCATTTAAGCCTTCAGGCAGACCTAAACAATTTTCAAAACTGGTGTCACGACAATTTACTAAAATTAAACAG